TTTCAGCTTGTTAGTGATCTTCAGGAAAATGTCTACATGGATAACATTTTGCAGGAAATAGGGCCCATGGATGCATACCTGCATACATATACATAATCACATACCCACTTACCCCCAAAATGTTTCTCTCTCATGTGTATTAGATATTTAGTACTGTAGTTCCTGAAGCATGGTTACATAGCTGAATAAGGCACCCCTCCTTTTTATTTAAAAGCTCATCATATTTAATTAGAAATTTCCAGAGGTGAGAGGCTTGCACTCTAACCCAATCACTGCAATGTATAGTCTATTCAAACTGTAATTGCATGAATTGTTAACATTTTCAAATCTGAACTAGCTTTAATTACTAATACTAATTGAAATAATCATTGAATGCTAATACATACTGGGCATATTTCCTGTAATAAGGAAACCAAACATTGGGTCTGGAAGCCTCAATGTGTTGTATACAAGCCACTTCCTTTCCATCCAGAAAATAATTCTGATGTATTCAACAAATAATATTGTATATGGAAGTAGAAACTTGACTTAAACTCCTCTTTCTTTTCTTATGAACTAATTCTACATGTGGCGCTGTAAGAGTTTTGAATTACGTTATCTTACCCCCTTTTTTAAATAGGACAAAAATTGCCCAAGATATTGAAAGGCTTATTCATCCTAATGATATTATAGACAGAGTTGTATACGATCTTGATAATCTCAGGTAAGTTTTATATTAAGATCTTTTTTTTAACTCTCACCTGTTCCATATTGATGTCTTTCCCATTTTAGATTCAGTAATTTAGCAAGAACAAGTTATGAATTAATGGGGCTGTGATAGTTTCCTTGGCTATTTATAAAGTTGTAAACACTTAAAACTTGGTAGGGGTAGAATAATATATGTTTAAAATGAATTACTTTTAATAATTTGCATATAGTAACAATGAAAAAAACCTAAATATAACTTTATTAATTAAAAAGTCTTGATTCACTGTACTGTAAAACATGGCTTTTAGGGTTTTTTTAGTTTTAGGGAACTCTTTTGTATCCTGTGAATTAGAAACTCCTATTCCAACCAATAGACAAATAGCTTACTAACCTTCAAAAGCATTATTGAACACCACTGTGAAGAATATTTCGGCTGTCTTTTAACCGGGGAATGAGAAATTTAGTTCTTTTTAACAAGTTTTCTCTGGATTAAAATTGGAAATGTTAAAATAAATTAGATGATAGCCATTGTTTCCTTTTGTGTCTCCATGTGCTTTCACACTCTTAGTCAAGAACACCTAATACCAATAACAGATTGGAGGAACAGAGCTGGAAGCAAGAATCTGTTCTACTTACAGTAGTGGATGTAATATACTGCTTGTTTTAACAGACTAATTGGAGAAAAGAAGGAATAATGGAATGTCCAGTGACTGGAGAGGGGGAGATTTGTACCATTTTCGTAATGCAGCCAATAAGCATATGATGCCATTTGCACAATGACATCAAAAGATGGCATACATTGATAAAAATGATGTAAATAGCAATACAAACTTGATCTGCTACATACAAAGTCTCTTATGTCAAGGACCTTTATAATGAGATTTCACTGAATTAAAAATACAACATTTTATACTCCTAATGCAAACATTAACAAGGTTTGAACATAGGAAGAAATTAGAAAATTCAAGGAAGAAATTTTTTTAAAAATGCCGTACTATATAATTGCTGAGAATTATGTTGAAGATTCAGCTACAAATATGAAATTGTTTAGATAGAGAGGTCCCTTCACTGCAACATAGAAAACATGCTTGTAATCTATATTTTCATTAACTCATGTTAAATATGTTGGGGAACCTTTAGTATAATTTAAACCAATTTAATGTGCAGAACTTGTATCTATCAGGTTTAATTGTATTCTTCCCCAATCTGTTTAGCTGGAAATAAAATCCAATATAACAAAATAATTTAAATTATTTTTAAATCCTTGTAATTTTATTTTATTTTCCAGTTGTCTAGTGCCTGATGAAGGAGATGTCTTGAAGTTTAACTCCAAATTTGAATCAGGAAATTTACGGAAAGTTATTCAGATCAGAAAGTAAGATATCATTACTATTTTATTTAATCATTATAGATCAGTTATCTCAATTATGTGACTTACTTATTTCTGCTCGTTTTTAGAAATGAGTATGATCTCATTCTGAATTCTGATATAAACAGCAATCATTATCACCAGTGGTTTTATTTTGAAGTCAGTGGAATGCGAACAGGTAGTGCCTACCGATTTAATATAATCAACTGTGAAAAGACAAACAGTCAATTTAATTATGGTAAGACTTATTTACTTTTCTATTTAAAAAAATGACACACAACAAACACATGCACCAGGGAAGTATTTTAGGCAATTGCAGATAATTACAGTACATCAACCTACCACTACAGATAATTGCAATATATCGGTAGTATCACAGAGAAGTAATATAGCAAATGTTTTGGATTAAAAAAAAGTAACCAAGTTGAGATGGACACATTATTTACAGATTTCTAAGGAGCAGGTAGGAAGATAGAGAACCTAGCATGGAAACACAAGCTGCAGTGAAATGTCAAGTATGCCAAACTAAAGGGCAAAAACTTAATTTTGTATACGTATGCTCTCTTTTCCTTTATCCCAAACTTTAATTAATCAAAGAGAAATTTGATCAAAACAGCTTGTCCTTATATCAAGGCTCCAAACAAGGATTGCAAACTATGACTTGGATTTGACTTGCAACCTGAATGGTAGCTTGCTTAAATTATAGTCTGCTGATAGTTTTTGAGCTCCAAATCATATTATTACTATCACTATCCATTGGTAATTGCATGTTGTCCCCATGGTTTTCAAGAGTTAGAAGCATGATATCTTGAGTGCCAGTGTTGATTTTAACAGCTCATGATGCATACAGGCCATAACAACCCTCAAATACTGAATTTACGATTAATACTACTAAAACTCAAACTCTAATAATATATTCGTCTTCTCATCTAATTCAAAAGTTATCTTCCCATATGATACTGAGAACAATGTCTATAGATAGGTATATTTGCTTGCTGAATATGTGCAGTTTTGTTCTCTAAATTCTCTATATTTTTCTTGAAGGTATGCAGCCCCTTATGTACTCTGTTCAAGAAGCACTAAGTGGCCGACCCTCATGGATTCGTACAGGAATGGATATTTGTTACTACAAGTAAGCCTAATAGTAAATCACAGAGGTCAATCTACCACACTCAAGCTATATGTACTCCTGAACCCATTTTGCAGCCACTCAGTTTTTAATGGCAGTATTGTGTGGCTTATTTTGCTCCCAGAAGGTAGAAAATATATGTGATAAGCTGGTGTGAGATTTCATTGCAGCTGTTTTGTACTTGTAAACCTTTGATCCCTTCCTCCCAAAAGAACAGAAGAAAAGAGCAGTTAGAAATTTTCCCATTACATACACTTCCTCAGTAACTTCACCACATAACTTGTGACCCGTGAAGGCCCAAAGTGCAACCTCCTGATGGATAAATGGAGAAATTAGTAGATCGATAAAATAAAATATTGAAAGGATAGGATAGGATAGGATAGGATAGGATAGGATAGGATAGGATAGGATAGGATAGGATAGGATAGGATAGGATAGGATAGGATAGGACAGGACAGGACAGGACA